ATCATAAAGTCTTGATTTAAACTTTGATGACTATCAGTTTAAAGATTTCTTAATGACTTTAATAAGTGTCAGCATAAAGTCTTGATTCCTATTAACTTTGATGACTATCAGTTTAAAGTCTATTGATTCTTAATGACTTTAATAAGTGTCAGCATAAAGTCTTGATTCCTATTAACTTTGATGACTATCAGTTTAAAGTCTATTGACTCTTAATGACTTTAATAAGTGTCAGCATATTGATTCCTATTAACTTTGATGACTATCAGTTTAAAGTCTATTAATTCTTAATGACTTTAATAAGTGTCAGCATAAAGTCTTGATTCCTATTAACTTTTTCTATCAGTTTAAAATAAAGTGTTTAATAATAAGTGTCAGCATAAAGTCTTGATTCTATTAATTTTGATGACTATCAGTTTAAAGTCTATTGACTCTTAATGACTTTAATGTCAGCATAAAGTCTTGATTCCTGACTATCAGTTTAAAATTGACTATTAATTCTTTAATAAGTGTCAGCATAAAGTCTTGATTCCTATTAACTTTGATGACTATCAGTTTAAAGTCTATTGACTCTTAATGACTTTAATAAGTGTCAGCATAAAGTCTTGATTCCTATTAACAGTTTTTTGACTATCATAAAGTTTAAACTATTGACTTCAGTTTAATGTTTAATAAGTGTCATAAAGTCTTGATTCTATTAACTTTGATGACTAAGTTTAAACTTTGACTCTTAATGACTTTTAATAAGTGTCAGCATAAAGTCTTGATTCTTGATGACTATCAGTTTAAAGTCTATTGACTTTAATGACTTTAATAAGTGTCAGCATAAAGTCTTGATTCCTATTAACTTTGATGACTATCAGTTTAAAGTCTATTGTCTTAATGACTTTAATAAGTGTCAGCATAAAGTCTTGATTCCTATTAACTTTGATGACTATCAGTTTAAAGTCTATTGACTCTTAATCTTTAATAAGTGTCAGCATAAAGTCTTGATTCCTATTACTTTGATGACTATCAGTTTAAAGTCTATTGACTTTTAATGACTTTAATAAGTGTCAGCATAAAGTCTTGATTCCTATTAACTTTGATGACTATCAGTTTAAAGTCTATTGATTCTTAATGACTTTAATAAGTGTCAGCATAAAGTCTTGATTCCTATTAACTTTGATGACTATCAGTTTAAAGTCTATTGATTCTTAATGACTTTAATAAGTGTCAGCATAAAGTCTTGATTCCTATTAACTTTGATGACTATCAGTTTAAAGTCTATTGATTCTTGACTCTTAATGACTTTAATGATTCCTTTACTTTGATAAGTATCAGTTTAAAGTCTTGATTCTTACTTTAAGTGTTTGATAAAGTCTTGACTATCAGTTTAAAGTCTATTGATTCTTAATGACTTTAATAAGTGTCAGCATAAAGTCTTGATTCCTATTAACTTTGATGACTATCAGTTTAAAGTCTATTGATTCTTAATGACTTTAATAAGTGTCAGCATAAAGTCTTTGATGACTATCAGTTTAAAGTCTATTGATTCTTAATGACTTTAATAACATAAAGTCTTGATTCCTATTAACTTTGATGACTATCAGTTTAAAGTCTATTGAGTGTCTCTTAATGACTTTAATAAGTGTCAGCATAAAGTCTTGATTCCTATTAACTTTGATGACTATCAGTTTAAAGTCTATTGACTTAATGACTTTAATAAGTGTCAGCATAAAGTCTTGATTCCTATTAACTTTGATGACTATCAGTTTAAAGTGTATTGACTCTTAATGACTTTAATAAGTGTCAGCATAAAGTCTTGATTCCTATTAACTTTGATGACTATCAGTTTAAAGTCTATTGACTCTTAATGACTTTAATAAGTGTAGCATAAAGTCTTGATTCCTATTAACTTTGATGACTATCAGTTTAAAGTCTTGATAATGACTTTATTAACATAAAGTTTGATGACTATCAGTTTAAAGTCTATTGATTCTTAATGACTTTAATAAGTGTCAGCATAAAGTCTTGATTCCTATTAACTTTGATGACTATCAGTTTAAAGTCTATTGATTCTTAATGACTTTAATGACTGACTTTAATAAGTGTCAGCATAAAGTCTTGATTCCTATTAACTTTGATGACTATCAGTTTAAAGTCTATTGACTCTTAATGACTTTAATAAGTGTCAGCATAAAGTCTTGATTCCTATTAACTTTGATTTGATGATTATCTTAATGTTTAAAGTCATAAAGTCTTGATTCTATTAACTTTGATGACTATCAGTTTAAAGTCTATTGACTCTTAATGACTTTAATAGTGTCAGCATAAAGTCTTGATTCTATTAACTTTGATGACTATCAGCAGTGTCAGCATAAAGTCTTGATTCTATTAACTTTATGACTATCAGTTTAACTTTAATTTGATGACTATCAGTTTAAAGTCTATTGATTCATGACTTTAAAGTGTCAGCATAAAGTCTTGATTCTAACTTTGATGACTATCAGTTTAAAATTGACTTTAATAAGTGTCAGCATAAAGTCTTGATTCCTATTAACTTTGATGACTATCAGTTTAAAGTCTATTGACTCTTATTGTTTTGTTGAGTGTCTGTCTAAATTCTGTTGATATTTATGAATTTGATGTGTATCTGTTTAAAGTCTACTGATTCTTATTGATTTTGATGAGTGTCAGTTTAAATTCTGTTGATTCTTATTCATTTTGATGTGTGTAATTTTAAAGTCTATTGATTCTTATTGATTTTGATGAGTGTCAGTTGAAAATCTATTGATTCCTATTGACATTGATGAGTGTCTGCTTAAATACTGTTGATTCTTATTGATTGGATGAGTGACAGTTTAAAGTCTATTAATTCCATTGATTCTTATTGACTTTTATGAATGTCAGTTTAAATTTGGTTGATTCTTATTGATTTTGATGCATTCATGTTTAAAGTCTATTCATTCCTATTCAATTTTCTGCTTGTTAGTTTAAAGTCTTTTGACTCTTTTTTACGTTGATGAGTTTCAGTTTAAAGTTTATTGATTCTTATAGACTTTGATGACTGTCAGTTGAAAATCTATTTATTCCTATTGACTTTGATTAATGTCAGTTGAAAGTCTGTTGCTTTTTATTGATTTTGATGAATGTCAGTCTATTGACTCTTATCAATTTGCTGAGTGTCTGTCTAAAGTCTGTTGATATTTATTGAATTTGATGTGTTTCAGTTTAAAGTCTACTGATTCTTATTGATTTGATGAGTGACTATTGATCCTTTTCACTTTGATGAGTGCCAGGTAAAAATCTATTGATTCTTTTTTACGTTGATAAGTGTCAGTTTAAGTTCTATTGATTATTATAGACTTTGATGACTGTCAGTTGAAAATCTATTGATTCGTTTTGACTGATTAGTGTCAGTTGAAAGTCTGTTGATTTGTATTGACTTAGATGAGTGTCAGTTTAAAATCTATTGATACTTATTGACTTTGATGACTTTCGGTTTAATGTCTATTGCTGCTTATTGATTTTGATGAGTGTCAGTATTAATTATTAAATTTGATGTGGATCCGTTTAAAGTCTATTGATTCTTATTGACTTTGAGATGTGTCAGTTTAAATTCTATTGATTTCTATTCACTTTGATGAGTGTTAGTTTAAAGTCTATTGATTCTTATAGACTTTGATGACTGTCAGTTTAAAATCTATTGATTCATATTGACTTTGTTTAGTGTCAATTGAATTTCTATTTATACTTATTCACTTTGATTAGTGTTAGTTTAAATTCTATTTCTTCTTATTGATTTTGATGAATGTCAGTTTAAAGTCTTTTGAGTCGTATTGACTTTAAATTAGTGTCAGTTGAAAGTCTGTTGACATTTATTGATTTTGATGAGTGTTCATTGAAAATCTATTGATACCTATTGACTATGATGAGTGTCAGTTTAAAGTCTGTTGATTCTTATTGCCTTTATGATTGTCAATTTAAAATCTATTGATTTCTATTCACTTTGATGAGTGTCAGTTTAAATTCTATTGATTTATATTGACTTTGATGAGTGTCAGTTGAAAGACTATTGATTCTCATTGACTTTGTTGAGTGTCAGTTTAAAGTCTATTGCTTCCTATTCACTTTGATGAGCATCACTTTAATGTCCATTGATTCTTATTGATTTTGATGAGTGTCAGTTGAAAGTTTATTGATTCCTATTGATTTGATGAATGTCATTTGAAAACCTATTGATTCCTATTGACTTTGATTAGTGTCAGTTGAAAGTCTGTTGATTCTTATTGACTTTGATGAGTGTCAGTTTAAAGCTTATTGATTGTTATTAACTTTGGTGAGTGTCAGTTGAAAGTCTATTGACTTTTATTGACTTTGGTGAGTGTCAGTTGAAAGTCTTTTGGCTCTTATTGACTTTGATGAGTGTCAATTGAAAGTCTGCTAATTTTAATAATGGAAATGGAGCCCAAAATATTTTTCAAATTAATTCACATATTTTCAGGGTTCCTAATTTTCATGCTTATTCTAAATAGAAAGATTTTTTTGTTTAAGTTTTGGGATTTTTTCCCAGATATATTTATTTTGAAACTGATGTATTGCCAAACATGAGTTCCTTAATATGATTAAGACTACTTGCAAGACAGGAGTCTACCTATTTCTGATTATTAACAAATCATTTAAAATTATTTTATGATTCAACATAGCCAATGTCTTTATCCTGACAAACTATTTATCTCTTAGCATACTTAAAAAGAGAAGCAGAAATATTTGAACAGTTTCATTGTAAATATTTTATTTCATGCAACTGATTATTTAGACAACTAAAAATTGAAGCAACTTTATAATAAAATTTTTATGAAAAAAAATCCCCCAATACTTCTTATTTTTATATTATATAAAATTAAATTAAATACTATACAAAAATTGAAAACTAAGATAAATGATTTGAAATCAGATAAATTTTACCTAAAATTTTACATACACTTTTTATTTTATAAGAAAAAAATCTTAGAAATCACCTTCAAATTCAAAGTAACCATCATCATCTTTTTCAATTTCTTTCATATCTTTTCGAATTTGTTGTTCTATTGACATCCTACAAAATAAAATTTAATTAGAAAAATTATTGTTAGAAAGTTATGAAGTGAAGGAAAGAACAATGAATTCATATGAATGTGAAATACCTGAATATAGATTTCAGAATTTGCATCATTTCATTTGGAGTTTCATGCCACATTGTTGCACATGCATAAACTTTTGGATGATACTTTTTCCCTTTTGTTTCCTCTGTGGTTATGTTGGCAGATTCTTCGTACTTTTCCAGTTTGTAAATAAATTTGCCATAAATATTTGAGTATTGTATAATATAATTGTGACATCTGCGACTCATCAAAATTCCTTGTTCATAGAAAAATGAACAAAAATATGGATTAAGAAACAACCTGAAAAAAGTCATTAAATAAATATTTATAATTTGAATACATCATAGATTATAAGAGAATAAAGAAAAAAATCTTTTGACTTAGTTTAAAATTCATTGTTTTTCTTTTTCTCTATTAACTTTAACATAACAGAAGACAAATTCAGACAAGTCCACATTTTTCTCTTTATATAATGGCTGTTCAGAAAATTACATATTTCATCATTATGAATGAGGAGTCAACTATCTAAAGTTCAATGGTACAGAACTGCATCTAAAATTAGTTTATCATCTTTTATCTGATAGTAAGCTGTTTATAGTGCATTTCAGAATTTAACCCCATGGTAAATTACAAATTTAAAAATATATATTTACCATTGCTAAATGTAAGAATTCTGAAAAGATAGAATTGTTATAGAGGCATTTAAAAACATTTAAAAAAGTCTATTTAGACACATTATTTTCTTATTTTAATACTTAGTTACATTTCCCTAGTTTACAATTACTGCCCAGAGACATTTTCATAAACCTTCTTTTCAAACATTCTTTAGAAATCTTGGCCCACTTTTCCTTGCAGATGGCCTTCAAATAGTTAATGTTTCTGGGCTTCCTCTGATAAATTTGATTTATTGGAACAATGAAGCCTTGTTCTGAACAAACCATTTGTGAGTTACTTTAGATGTATGCTTTAGCTTATTCTTTTGTTAAACACTCCAGTCCTCTTCACACTGAATGTAGTACACCAAAGAAAACAAATTAGCTTCCAGAATATTGTAATGTATCACTTCCTTCAGGGCTGCTTCAATTGTATGAAGTACTTATTACCATTGAAAAAGAAATACCCTCAAACCATGATAATTCCATCTCCAGGCTTTACTATAGTAATATTTTTCTTTTTATAATAGATACATTCATTGTTTCTCTATATTATGATGATCAAAGTTGTAATAAAAAAATTCAATTTTCATTTCATTTGTCCAAAGAATATTCTTTCAAAATTATTAAACTTTAATGTTCACTAGTAAACATTTATCCAAGAATCAATGAAGGTACAGGACATTAAGCCATTCTTTTAGTAATTAATATTTCTGCTGCTCTCTTTGAAATCATTTTGTTTTATTTAGTTGAGAGTTCCATATTTTAAGCATGAAAGCCCCATTGTCAGAAGTGGACAACAATCTGTGCAATGATTTAATACACTAGACAAGAACTTTTCACCACTCACATATATGTATTGTTTCTTAGTAATTGTTAATTTTATATCAAAAAAATGTAAATCTAAAGTAAATCTAGATATTGTCAGTATATTAAATAAATATTTTACAAGTATTCAAATACTTCATTCACCCTAGGGTAAAATATTATTAAAAGAAATATACTTACAATTCTCTCCTCATAAGACGACTTTGTTCTGATCTGAAAATATGTCTGACAATCCAATAGATGGAAATATACAAAAGGCAGCCAATGGTTACAGCTACAATGTTCTTTTCATCATTTACCAACCAACAGTTGTTCAGATAATGAAAAGGATTGTCATTTGTCATATTTATTTTTTTCAAACAAGGCCATAAGGTAATAAAAATGGTGACTGGAGTTGACAACAAAAGTGGTATAGCAAATGCTAATTCTTGCATGCATAATTTGCAGGCCAAATATGCAAAATAATATCCAAATGCATTGCACAAGCACAAAAGAATGATGGGTAAATACAGATTTATATCTTTCTCAATATTTTTGCTTATAAAGTCCACGCTGAAAATAAAATGAAGTTAAAATTAGTTATGTTAAGATAAACAGTTATTCAAATGTCAATTCACATAGAAGATTTAAACTAATACTGACAATGAACAATAATCATATTTTATTTTGTTTAATGGGTTACCTAAAAAGTTTGTTCAGTTAATTAAGTAAAAATAAGTTTTTATTCTTGATATTAACTTTTTTGAATGGTATTTTTACCATTCTTTTCCTCTCTTCTGTCATTTTTCATGCACCTTCATAAGTTCAACCTCTAATGTTCTATGTCCGTTTTTCATTTTTCATTTCTTTCATTAAGAGAATTCTAAAAACTTTGGAATAAATGGTAATTCAAAAGTGTAATATCTGATGAATATTACAGATGAACCAAAATTTTCCAGCTGAGATACAACGATTTCATTGTAATTACCAAAGAAACATGCATCATATTATCTTGATGGAATATGTTTTTTTTCTAAACTATCAGGTTCTGTCCAAATTTGAACTTTTTGTTAAAATGAACGAAATTTAAAGAGTATTTTATAATGTCTAATGGAGCTGAACATTATTTTTATGTTTAGATGCATTTAAACTGATCAAATTTTATTTCAGAGAACAATAAAATTAAATTTTGTTTGATTAAAACCCTGCTAACATGGAAGTACCCAAGAATCATTTGAGGCACATGATGCTTTATGAGTTCAAGAAAGGAAACTCAGCAGCCGAAGCGGCTAGAAACATTCACTTAGTTTATAGAGAGGAATGTGTGAATGAAAGAACTTGCAGAAGATGGTTTGCAAAATTCAGAGATGGAGATTTCACCCTTGAAGATGAAGATCGAACCAGACATCCAGTTGAGTTTGATGAAAAGCTTCTTGAAGCAGCCCTTGAAGAAAATCCTGCTTTATCAGTTGAGTAATTGGCAGTGGTTCTCAGTTCAAACCATACAACTGTTATCGTCATCTTCAACAATGTGGAAAAGTTCCTAAACTTGGAAAATGGGTGCCTTATGAATTGTCTGAAAACAACCTCAAATCCCAAGTTGACATCTGCTCTTCTCTCCATTCTTGCCAACTTGTTTCACCTTTTTTGGATAGACTTGTGACTGGCGATGAAAAATGGATCTTTTATTGAAATGTTAAGCATCGTAGACAGTGGCTTGGTAAAGGGGGAAAACCCCAGCCACAGTTGAGAAGGGAACTTCATAGGCAAAAGGTTCTTCTTTCAATCTGGTGGGATTGCCAAGGAATAATCCACTTTGAATTCTTACCAACAATTAATGCTCAAATATACTGTCAGCAATTAGAGGGTTTGAACCAAGCTCTGAGGAAAAAAAGACCTGCTCTAGTGAATTGAAAAGGGGTGATGTTTCATCAGGACAATGCGCAACCCCACGCAGCAAGAATCACGTCACAAAAGATTGAAGAACTTGGTTGGGAGAAAATTCCTCATCCACCTTATTCTCCCAATTTTGCTCCTTCAGACTACCATTTGTTTCATAGCTTAGAGAATCATTTGGAAGAAACAGCTTTTGTAACACAGGAAGAGGTTAAAACTGACATTTGTGAGTTCTTTGAATCAAAGCCAAAAGAATTTTACAGTAATGGAATTAGTAAGCTTGTTAATAGATGGAAGGAAGTCATAGATAATCAGGGAAAATACATTGTTGATTGAATCTGTAATTAAATGTAACATTTGGTCACTTGTTTTCTTTATTCAAAATTCGGACAGAACTTATGGGATGACCTGATAGATTTGGGTGATTTTCATTGACTGCTGCTTTCAATTGATCTAAAATGGAACAGAATTTCAATCAATTGTTTATTTCTTTGGAATGAACCCAGAGTAGCACTTTCAATTCTATCATAAACAGCATCATTTTTGGGGTGATGAAGGCTAACCTTCAAATTGGTTAGTGGTGATTTATTCTGCTTACTTCATAATAGTTTGCATTTGACATTTTATAAAGTATCCACTTTTAATTACCCATTACAATTTCCTTTAAAAATGAAAACATTTTTATTATGTTTCAATAGGGAAATGCCTATAGAATGTATGTATTTCTCCCTCAATTTTTTGTAGAAGTCAAAGCAAAAGATAGAATCAAACTGATTCAAATGATTTTCAGTGATTTTGAATATTTTTATTCTGTTGATTATCCTCAAGTAATTTCTTGATTTGATTGTTTTCAGTCTCACCTGATGGAAGCAATCCAACCATGAGTATAGGCCAGCAAGAGATCATCAGTATGAGAATTTGCAATCCACTATTGACATGTTTGATCATTTATGGTATTTTCTCCAATTGAAGTTTTAAAATAAAAACTGCATAATATGCTGAAAATACTTAACAGAGAATCTATGAAAAACATTTTGTAAGAGGCAAAAGTCTGAACAAAATGATTTACTGTGTCATAAAAGACCATATAAAAAAATAGGGCCTCTTACTCTCCTAAAAATTTGATTCCCAAACTGACTGTACTTAACAATAATCATCTAAGACATAACAGATAATATGTGATTTCAGTTGGCCTCTGATCCTAAAATCATGGCTTTTATATCTAATAAAATTTTTTAGGTATACAAATATTTTACTAACTAAACATGTTTAAACACCAAAGAGTAGGTTAGAATGGAATCTTGATAATAACTCTCTTGCTGATAAATCAAAAGAAATAGTGTTTCTCAAGAAAATAATTGATTATTCTCAGAGACTTTAAACAACCTTAATCAAAATAATTTCTACTAATAATTTCATAAAAATATAATACTTTTATTTCTATTGATATCCATAACTTAATTAGGTTGTTTATATATATATATATATATATATATATATATATATGTATATAACCAAAAAAAAACAAAACCAAAAAAAGTTTTGATCTTGAAAATAGCTAAAAGGGTAACCAAAAAAAGTTTTGATCTTGAGAATAGCTTTTAGCTATTTTCAAGATCAAAACTTTTTTTGGTTACCCTTTTAGCTATTTTCAAGATCAAAACTTTTTTTATAAAGATATTAATAATTGTGGAAAATACAATTATAGATTTTATATTTTTTTTACTTCAATTAAATTTGAGATCACTATTTTATTAATTCTAATGTGTGAAGTGAGATGAACACCAGTTTAAAAGATATGAACATGGATTACACTCAAGTGATAAGTTAGTGTACAGGATACAGAGGTGGTTGTTTGGGCAATGTATAAATTGTCTGTAGCCTTTAATCAAACTTTTATTAACATATGTCTTCACAAGTATAATATTTCCTAGTGGGGTGGTGAGGAAAATATCAAAACCATCATTTGTGCTAAAACAGTTTGCCTGTGTCAACAAAGGCATAAATCTAAGTCTAAAATAAATGAATCAATTGAAAGGAAACAGTTTCAAGATGAATACTATACAACACAGAGTGTGTTTGTTGGCATGAGCTACAAGTTTAGGGATTTTTAAATCTGAAATTGGACAGCATAGAATATTTTTCCTTTTCAACTGAAAATCTTGTCAACTGCTCAGCATCTTGACTTTGTCATCAAGTCAAAATCCAGAGCTTTGATTATACTACCACTGGTTTCCTAGTGACTGGGGTAGTCAGCTAACTCTCATTCTTGGTCAGTTAATTCAAATCTCATATCATTGCATTAAAATTGCATTTTGGGAATGTGACAGCTCATGAATATTGATTGAAAAATTAGAAGACAAGAGAAAATAAATGATCAAGCTGCATTTTCATCCAAGATTCCCTTCTTTCATAAAAAAAAAAAACTAAATTATAGTGGTATCGTAAGGAACTACTAGGCTGCCCTGGATTAGTGATACTTTAGTTTAGAATCCATACTTATTTCTGGGATTATTATCTGATAAAGATTTTGTTGGGGGCACAGCTTTTCACATTATATTGTATGACATTTAGTTACATAAAAAAATACTGAAAAATTATTCCCTGAGTGAATTTAAATCTGAACATTTATTAACAATTTCAAGAGATTCTGTTGTTTTTTATTTCCATATTGTTTTCAATTTGATATCTAATTGTTCTTCATTATTTATGTTTAATGCCATCTATTCAAATAGAAAACTGTGATATTAACAAGAGTGAATTGTCTTTAAAGTTAAAAAAAACTTTATGAACCTACAGGATGTTTTGTGATCTGGGGGTGATTCTGTAATGGTGTAGGGTATGTTATTTTGCAGTTTGCAAAAATGGCCACTAAAGAAACTGAAGTCTGTCTTGAGAGATGCGACACCCATATATGTTACAATCATGTTGCAGACCATTTCTACCAACTTTATACTAACCAAATTTTCCAGTGGTAATAGTCTTAGTATGATAACACCCCCATTGTGTGTTGGTGGCAAAACCTGTTTCAAGAAAATAGGAAAATTCATTTGACATCCAAATATTCAACAGCTCACTGCACTCCATATTTAAACTTCATTGAACCTTGATAGATATAACTAGACAAATACTCTAGCACCTCATAGACTCTATACCACATCCCATAACCAACTTTATTCAGGCAAGAAGTGCTACACATTATTTGGAGGACATCTCTAATGTTTTGGAGGCACTTTGATGTGGTGTGATGGTTAGCAAGCTTGTTTTGCTAGATCAGTTACAACTGAGTAATGAGTTTGATCCTCACTGTGTGCTCCACACTTTCAGTCTACACTTAGTAAATCATTATGGTACTTTGACATGGTGTAATGGTTCACAAGCTTGTCCTGCTAGATCAATTACAACTGAATAGTGGGTTTGATCCACACTGGGTGCTCCATACTTTTGGCCTTGTACCACATCTAAGCTATGCTACAAAAGCCAGTAAAATCACTATCTCTAATGTTTTAGCACTTCAGTTTATCTTCTATCTAATAGCAATACAGCTTTATAACACTAGATATTTTAAACATGAACCTGGAAAGTTATAAGCTTATCTAGTTTCCCAATAAGATGTGTCGTCTTTCTTTTTAGATTCGCCTAAACATTTGTAAAACAATGTGATGTTCTTGAAATCATTTCTGGAAAAAATATAAGGTTTTACCTCAAAATACTACATACCTGAATTTATGATTATCCAAAAAATAGGCACACAACACTGTGAGCAGAATTTTCCAGGTGTATGAGATCATGTTCATGAAGTGTCGGACATATTGCAGTTCATGTTTGATTTCCATTAAAGTTTGATTAAATTTGAGTGAAAATGTGCAGCCGTCATAGAAGTTTTCCCACCAATAAATTGACACAAATAAAAATGACAGGACCAATTCTAGTTTTTGATACCATTTTAAATCATTTAAGAAAATGGCAAAAGTGATGATGCTTGCAAACTGAATGACAGCGCTAATTACATCAAAAAATTTGATTGTCGTTCGTTTCCATATTTCTGAAAGTTAAATGATAAAACAGCATTAACATTAATGAATATTTTACTTTGAATATTTCAAAATATTTCTTGGCAACAAAGAAATTTTAATGTTTAATTGCATACTAAATTAGTATGTATATAATTTGAGTTAAAAACATAATCAAAGGCAAACTGAATCCTCAAAACAATCAATCAAAATCTGTGGACTGATGCTACTTTGTGTCTAGTCAGTTGGCTGATAAACTGATTGGCATCTCTGAGTTCCAATATGTCTTACTGAGTAACCTACTGCACTTTACATGAATTGTGTCTCTAGATGTAATTTTATGTTCAAAGCTATCAATTGTAGAATCAAATTAATGATGTCCTTGTCCCTAAGTTCTGTAATGCCAGTCAATTGGCATTCCACACAATCCATACTGTACATATCCACTACCCAGAAGTCTCCTCTGCAATTTGTAGTTAAACCTTAATTATATATGTTTTGTTGTAAAGGAAAAAAAACTCTTTCAAGGTCTAATGGATTTTCATTACTAATTTACATATAATATAATCTTCTGCTCAATTTTTAAAAATTATACTATACTAATTAAGAGTTTAAAGAAAATCTGAAATACTACTTTATACCAATTAGTAAGTTGCAAGCATAGTGATTTATTTTTCATTTATCTACTCAATAATGTAAATGCAAAACAAGTCAAAAATCAGAGAAAATGTAAGGTTCTTTCTAAATTATTATTAATCATTATGTAGAAAAATTAGCAACTTTTCAAAATTTTTATTCAAATTAAAATTGGTTTAAAATTTCATATTTTGTTTAACAAATTTTGATTTTCCATTTTATTACAATTGATATTATCAGGCTGAAAATGGATTCAAAATCTTTGACATACTTGAAACTCTATGGAAAAATTTTTAAAAGTTTTAATGTCACAAAATCTACCAAGTATAAAAGGTCTTAACAACAAAAATTTAATAAATCTTTTTGTTCATTCTCTTTGCAGCTTTCTGTTTTTTTTTTTAAGATTTTATTAATTCAACAATAACTTATCTTTTCAATTTGATGAAGTGAACATTTCTTTAATAGATGCATTTTAATTAAATAGTTTTTCTTTTTAGAAATTATTAGCAAGTATGTAATTATCACTTGATAAACAAGAAACTAATAAATCTTTGAACAGATGCTGGTTAGGTAAATGTAAATAAATATTAAACAAAAGTTTGTAATATTTTTTGCATATTATCTTATTATAAAACGCAGGTTGTCTGTGTGTGTCTGTAACGTTTATATGTTGGATCGAATTTCCTACATTTTTTAGCCGATTTCAACAAAACTTCACAGGACTACATAAAATTACCTTGTGGTGGTTCTAACGGGACCGAAAATGGGAAAAACACAGTTGTTTTTTAAGAAAATCATTTTGAAAACACGATTAAGACACATCGTGAGAATGAAAGGGGGACAACTCACCCACGAAAATGTAAACAAAAGAGCATAGCATGATGAAAAAGACGCCGAACTTGACGAAAACAAAATTTTATCGTCTAATGTTCATATTGTTATTAAAGAGGAAAGATCAAAGTATTTTGGGGGTATTTTTTTACATTTTTTAATCATTCCTAGAACGTCTGAAATTTTCGTTAAAAATATTGTTTTTTTTTTGGTAAAAAAAATGGACAGAATCATTTTCAATCATTCTTCTCGATTTAAAAGATTAAAATCTTACTTTGATATTCTTTTAAAAATCAATTATCATTTTTTCAAAACTGATTTTAATAAAAACAGAAATTATACTGTTTATTTAAAATATTTTGAACCAAGCTTAACTTAGCTTCTGTGCCGAAAAAATATAATTTGAAAATAAAACAAAGCAGGTCATAACCTTTCGCGTCGCTTGACGATTGACGAAAGGCACATTCATGACGTTTAGATAACTTCCGGGAGAAGAATTCTTTCTACGGATGGAAGGAAGTGAAATTATTTAAGTGAACAAATTATTTACCTTGTTACTTTTAAGGAAAACTTTCAGCGCACTAATTTTTTATTTTTTATTTTTTAAAAATTTTTTTTTTGTACTTAGCTTTCATTTTTACGTTTACGATGTTTTATGGAAAATATAAAGAAATTAAAAAATAAGACTGTTAATAGTGAGATTAAATTTTATAAGAAAAAGGTATCTAATTAATTTAGGTACCTTTCTTATGAAATTTTATCAGAAGTGTACATAAAATACTATAATTTTATGTACATTTATTACATTTTACTGTGTTATTTGTATTTCCATTCATTTTATTATTAATTTTGATATTTCATTTATGGAAAAATGTCATAACTGAGATTAATATAAAAATAAGATCATATAAATTAAAGTTTAGCAGTAGTTAAATTTCACAAGATGATACTGTTACTTGTAGGTACCCTTCTCAGTTGAAATTGAAAACTCAAATTAACTTCTCCATAAGTGTTTCGCAAAAGTAAAGGGCTTAACAGCGGAGAACAATGCTGAACTCAAATAATGCAACTAAATTGTATTCTGGTTGGTCTTCCGTACTTGATAATTACTGTCCGACTATAAACACAAAAATTACATTTCTTAATTACCATGGCTAATCTGATTGGTCCAAATTATACAATTTTCAAAGCGATAGACAATGACAATCTCACACGGACATTTTGAAAGGTTGATGTTGCTTTTAAGTTTTAACTAATGTTAAAATATTTTTTAAAATTCAGTTTAAACATTTTTTAAAAATCTTTTTAAAATTAAAGAAATAAGAAATAATTGTATTAAAAATTCAATTTTCATTGAAAAATTTTTTGCTTTCAGAAAATATTGTCCATATTCATTAAAAACAAATTAAAACAAATAAAAGCATTTGAAACTAAATAATATATTTGTTTTATTGAGTTTTGTATGTTACAATTCACAGCTGATTTTCAGGTACGTTGGCCAAAAAAACAAAAAAAAAAAACAAAAAAAAACATGATTTGCATTCTTCAAAGCCTTGTGCTTTTAACTATTGTAATCACGAAAACCGATGGTCTCGAATTTCTAGAGTTTTTCATAAAATTAGTTATGGGGGTGTTAATAAATATAAAAAAAATATTTCTGCCATGAATTTAATAAAAAAACATATTTATAATAATTACGATCATATGTGAATAGTTTCTGAAAGTTTCATTAACATCTGACAATTATTTTTATTTTTGCAAGATTTTCCAAATTAATGTGTGTAAATACAAAAAAACGCGCTAAAAATTATCTATGTTATTTACTACCCCTTGTTGCGACAAAGAGAAACAGGGTTTTTTAAATCAAAATTTAGAATATTCTAAAAAGTTGGAAAAATTTTAAAAAAATAATTAAAAAAAAATTTAGTCTATCCTCTTCATAAAAACATAAGCATTTTGACGATAAAATTTTGTTTTCATAAACTTTGACGTCTTTTTCATCAGACTATGCTCTATGTTTTAGCGATTCTGTGGAGTGACTTAGGTTAAAAAACCCAGGTTGTGTGTGTGTGTGTGTGTGTGTGTGTGTGTGTGTGTGTGTGTGTGTTCCTTTATATATGGGATCGGATTTCTTACATTTTTCAGCCGATAAAAAAAAACATCCACTTTTTTTTTTCGGTAGGTAGTAGTTCTTATTGTCTTGCACACTTTTTTCTTTATTTACATTCAGAATGCTTTAAAAATTCCATTTACAAGACAATTGTTTATAATAAAATTCTATTCACCAATCGATAGACTCATAACGATTGTAAACAATGTTTTTGTTTGAATTTGGGTTTGACCAATTCGTAAAAAAAATAAACTAATTAAGACATGCGTGTCCGTCAACCTTAAACAATAATCTTTGTCAATTTTATTTTTCAGTCTTTATGATGGTCGATACTTGATCTATCTCTTACTGTTACATCCCCGGGCAACGCCGGGCTCTACTGCTAGTGTATTATATGTGTCACATGTATATTATGTTACAATTTTTATGTTATGGTACAGATTATTAATTTAAAGATATTTAATGAACAAGTTTTAAAAACCAATTACACCCTTATGAGGAAAATGACCACCACAAAATGTCTTTCAGTGACTACCTGTCATTGGAACTATTTTTGTTCAAATTTTAGATTAACTAACTTAACCAAAGTAATTTATCTTACAGTGATGCGAAATGACCTCTAACCTGACCGTGCTAAACTGACTGACTTGTTTTCTATTAAATGGTGAATGTAGACCTCCTGGTGGAATCTAACCAGAGCTAGTGTCAAGGCAGGCAATGGGCTTGGGGGTTTGATTCTGAAATAACTTTTCTAATTGCAACAATTTTGATGTTTTTGCCAGGCCAATACTAATGAGATTTCTTTATTTTTTTGGTGAGGATTGCTTCCAAAAACGAAAAAAATAAAGAATCACAAGATGATAGTGCTTCCATTTGTATCAGATAGTATATTTGGGAAAAATAAATAATTCTTTATATTAATGGTTACAAATTCACTTGACTATCCAGTGTGTCTTGTATGTAGTAAAGGACATGAAAGCAATTTATTTATGGAGAGTATGAAAAAGTGAGGCATAGATAAAAAAAAAATTAAGAACAGTAAACACCACAATTCCAGCAATAAAAATATTGATGAACTATTGAAAGGCTAATGAGAAGATAAAAAATAATAGACAAATAATGGAAGAAATTGTAGAAATTCTATGAAACTACAAATTAAGTGCAACGCTAGATAAGCAGCAGCAATACAAATGAATCAGTTTGATTCATTGATCAATCAAGAACATTTACTAGCTCTTCTCATTATTCTTAGTAAATATGATTGATATGACATTCAGAGAAAATAGTAAAAGATATTACACTAGTCTGGAAGTAAAAGATATTCTACATGTCTATCCAATATAAAAAACACAACATTTTTATTTTTTCTCCCTAACACACTGGTATGTATACATATTCCTGGTGGGGCATCTGCAGGACACAGTTCGACTCTCCAAACAAGTTATTTGAAAGTTC